GAGGGTGACAGCTCCTTGCAGAAGCAGTAGTCTCTCTTCAGAGGTCCGAGTCACACCGTGCTAATTGGACAGATTAGCTCTGATTCAAAAGGTAGTGTGTTGGACCTCTAGAGGAGCGGTCTCCAAACTTTGGGGGCCGGATGCGGCCCTTTGCTTGGTTTTATCCGACCTTTGGGGCACTATTCCATCCACTGACACCAGCAACTGGGCATGTGTCCTCCCATTACCCATATGGCAGAAAACTATTGTAAAAATATCCTTCCCAAATATATTGACATATATTTGAAATGCTACAATTTTGGCCGTATTCAATATATTTCTAAATATATGTATATATTCCTCCTATAAGTTCCTCCTTGATTCTGTGGCATTGGGATGCCCTGTCAGAGGTGACCCGTGCAGATAGAGGAATGAGGGAGCAGACAGAAATCACACTAGGTGCTTGAGTTGAGGCAAGTACATAATATAAAAGGATATGCTTTGTTCACTTTTTGCATTTCCAAGGTTTACATCCACTTTAATGTGATCTAAATTGTAAAATTTAACTTGGACCATATTTTGCCTCCCCCCCCCCCCCCCCACCCCATGGCTCTCTGATGGGAAATGTAAATCATAGAGTGCCAAAGATGGGTAAAAGAACAAGACCGACACTGGGATTCAGATGAGTGGTATGATCTTAGCCGCGTTTCACCACCCACTAACGCGTTTCAGCCTGGCCACCGGGGGCTTGGTCACAGAGGCTCGCCTCTGTGACTAAGCCTCAGTGGGTGGGGCAAAACTCATCAGAGGGTGGGCCTTGGAGCGGTGGCTGAGACCATTCCACTCATCAGACTCCCAGGGTCGGTCTCGAGCGGCGACCGGTCTTTTACCCATCCGGAACCATTGGAACTGCTTTGGGACGCTGCTCCCTCCTTTGCCCCTGGGGTGATCTTCATTCATCTTGGAGCGGTGGCATTTAGGTGTCTCTACGATCCATAGAGTGCCAAGGACCTATAGTGAGGAAACCATTGGCTGTTGCAGTAATGGCAGGGTTAAGTCTTTTACCCCTCCACTTGATTAAACTCCTCAATGGCCTATCCTTGGCAATGCGCACAGGAAAGCCTATTATTTGATGTATATATAAATTCCCAGTAATAAAACATTCCACACGTGAGTAATCCCGGATGAAGGGCTTGGAATAAAGGTTTATTTATATGGAACGCTCCGTCTGCTGATCGCACAAGAACCATTTCATAACCGCTACTAGAATGCACCCAATTATAGAAGGCTCAGCACGGTGTTCTAGAGGCTCATAATATACAGTATACATTGATGTAGAAAGCGTTAATACAGCCCAGCAGTGCAGATAAAAGTCCCCTATCAGGTGCTTAATATAAAGCAGCAACCCACAACTACAAAACACAGCATCATGCTGGTGTGCGCTTATCCCCATCCGCCCGCTCTTTACTTCTCACTTCTAGCGGTGGGTTTATTTAACAAAAAATCTATAGGATGAATTAATATACCTGCTGGTAGTAACCAGATTCTGCATCTCATTCTATTCTTGCATCATGGGAGACTGGAATACCCTGATTGGGTCGCACAAAAAGGCATTTCTTCACATTATTCAACCTGATAGCCTCCATTTCTCTCTGCATCTCCTAAATCTACCTTTGACTAGATCCTGTACTGTGGAGGATGTGCCCAAAAAGGTCCAGCGTATAGGCAGGTGCAGGATTCCCCTCCGTCTTCTTGGTGGCACTCTGCCAATTATTACAGACGGGGAATTGTCCTCTTGTGGTCTCCTTCTGGGTCTCAGGGAAGCCAGCAATTCAATTGGATACAGCAATCTCTTGGGAACTTGGGCAGCCATCTTGAGTGGGAACCTTATATATATAGGGTGTCGTGTCATTTGGACACTGCAGGCACAGGAAGAGCAGGATTTTTCAAGAACTTCCTGTTCCTTGTCCTGCACTGTGTCTCTGTAAAGTGGACATCTTGGTAGAGGAGCAGCTTCCTCATTTCAGAGCTGTCCCCCTGAACCAGCTGTTGGGCGTTGCTGAGTTTTTTTGGCCAACATACCTTTTCACTGCCAGAATCTGCACAAACAGACCTTGTATTTCCACAAGACTTGATGAAGGGGCAACTGTGTGACTCCTAAAACGTAGTGGACTCTTGCCCCCAATTAATGTTTGGAAATAATCCCTACTGTGCAGTATACTATTTCGGTGTGGCACGTCAATTTCATATTCAGATATTATCTTCACATCCCAAGGTTATTGTGGCAGTTCCTTGGTGCACGGAAGCAGCCTACATATCATTTAGATGCACCACAGGGTCCCCAGTAGCATAACATTGATCAAATAAATTTTGAGTACTAAAAGATTTCCCTCACCATTAGGCTTCCAGCGCCATCAATTTACCACCCGAAGCCCCTAAAGACTGGTGGCAGAGACTACATGGTCATTGTTGCAGCTTTGATTGGGTGACATGGGGCCAAGAAGAGCTTGGATTCCAATTGTTCCAGTTTTTGGTAGTTATAATACGTACATCTTACTTGCAGGGTGTTATAAACTACGATTGGATTTTCTGATATGTCCTCTTTGAAGCATAATTCAGTAGGAAAATCATAGTTTTGTCTTTTAGCACGACCATTGTGCTCAGTAGGGTTTTCGGACAACAGCAAGGAGTAGACAGTTCATGAATAAAGGATAGCACCAACACAACCTCTACATGACTGGTGACCTTATACGTGACTGGTGACCCCATACGTGACTGGTGACTACCGACTCAAGTTCTTTAAACCTTTTACCCGGTAGAGATATTCTGGCCTGAGGGCTGTTTGTGTCCTTTGGAAGTGTTACGTGATGACCTTAGACCAACAATTGTGCTGCTCTCCAGCTGCTATGACCACTCAATGATCTCAGTTAACACAAGTCTCCAGAGGAAGAACTGCATGGAAACGTTGGTTGCCATGGATCTAGTTTTGGACTGTTTGATAAATGAGATGCTTTGTCTTACAAAGAGGAAAATGGCATGTGGTGATTACTGCTGAGCAAGTAAGAGTAGGCAGCTTTTCTATTTTTGGCCAAACTATAAGATGTGTTTGTGGTATAGGAATGACAACACATCAACGATTGGTAATGCAATATATCCTGTATACGTTTTGTGAGACTCGCAAATTCATTGATAAAATTGTTGCTGCTTTTAAAGCGTATCTATGGTCAAAATATACACTCACAGGCCACTTTATTAGGTCCACTTTGCTAGTTCCTGGCTGGACCCCCTTTTGTTTTCAGAACTGACTTCATTCTTCGGGGCACAGATTCAACAAGGTGTTGGAATGGAAACATTCCTCAAAGATTTTATTAGGTCCATCTGCTAGTACTGGGTTGGACCCCCTTTTGCCTTCAGAACTGCCTTCATTCTTTGGGGCACAGATTCAACAAGGTGTTGGAATGGAAACATTCCTCAGAGATTTTGGTCCATATTGATATGAGTTACTGTTGCTTTTCTATCATCTGGAACCAGTCTGCCCATTCTCTTCTGATATCAACAAGGCATTTACCTCCACACAACTGCCACTCATTGGATTTTTTTCTCTTTTTCGGACCATTCCCTGTAAACCCTAGAGATAGTTTGTAACGGAACCGGACCCCGACTGTGCTAGGGTATTTCCGTTAGACTCCCGCTTCCCTGTCCGAACATTATCCACGGACCCCACCGCTGACCATACAGGACGAGCCAGCACCAGGCTTCTTAAGACAGGAAGTGAACTGCTTTATTTTAACACAAACACAAGATATATACACAGGGCGGGGAAATACAACCAGGAACAGGAAACACATCAGCAGGCCGTCCCATCAGGGGGAAGGGCTGCCGGAACACCTCCCACCAAGCCAAGACACGCAATAGAACAATGAGATACACCATGTGGCAGTAGACAATACAGGAACACATACATCCCATAATAGTTTGCTGGCAAGCAAGACACAATAGAAAAATGGGACCACGTGGCAGTCAACAATGAACACACCCCACCTATACATGTCCGCACAATATTAGGATATTCCACCCTGTACCATTAACGGGCACAGGGAGACTCACACATAATGGGAATATGGGGAACGGGGAGAGGTCCCCCCACCCCAAAAGTCCCTCCCGTCACATAGTCCCAGTAGATCATCAGTTTTTGAAATTCTCAGGCCAGCCCGTCTGGCACCAACAACCATGACACGTTCAAAGTCACTTAAATCCTCTTTCTTCCCCATTCTGATGTTCGGTTAGAACTTCAGCAAGTCGTCTTTACCACGTCTAGATGCCTAAATGCATTGAGTTGCTGCCATTTGATTGGCTGATTAGCAGTTTGTATTACCAAGCAGTTGAACAGGTGGACCTAATAAAGTAGCCGGTGAGTAAAACCCCATATTTTTTTTCCACATTGTATTCCATTTATTTCTAGCCTACACCTATTAGGCTCAGTTCAGACTGGTGCTATTTCAGATGCGACCTGAGTCTCACGCAGTCACTTGACAATGGAAATCACACTGTTGTCAATGGTTCCCGTTCACATCAACGTGATCTGGCATGGTGCAGTTTTGGAAATGGTTCCTGTACTACTAGGAGGGAGGGGATAGTGGTACAGGAGGAGATAGCTGTGGGGGATGGAGTGGTAAAGAGTGGAGGAGGTCTGAAATTAGCAGGGGGTGGGGTAGGCTTCCCTGAAGAGGTGGGTTTTCAGGGTACACCTAAAGGAGAGGAGAGTAGGTGATAATCTGATGGGTTGGGGCAGGGAGTTCCAGAGAATGGGTGACACCCTGGAGAAATCCTGGAGGCGGGCATGGGAGGAGGAGACCAGGGAACTAGAGAGAAGGAGGTCTTGTGAGGAGCAGAGTGTGCGTGGTACTTGGATATTAGGTCGGTGATATAATTTGGGTCAGTATGAAGGACAGCTTTGTACGTCAGTGATAGGATTTTGAATTTGATCCGTTGCACAATCGGAAGCCAGTGGAGGGATTGGCAGAGGGGGGTGGAGGACACTGAGTGGAGGGATTGGCAGAGGGGGGTGGAGGACACCGAGTGGAGGCCAGTGGAGGGATTGCAGAGAGGGGGTGGACACTGAGTGGCAGTGGAGGGGTGGCAAGGACAATGAGTGGAGGCCAGTGGAGGGATTGGCAGAGAGGGATGGAGGACACCGAGTGGAGGCCAGTGGAGGGATTGGCAGAGAGGGGTGAAGGACACTGAGTGGAGGCCAGTGGAGGGATTGGCAGAGGGGGGTGGAGGACAATGAGTGGAGGCCAGTGGAGGGATTGGCAGAGAGGGGTGGCAGAAATGGAGCAGTTGGTAAGGTGGATGAGTCTGGCTGCCGTATTCAGGATAGACTGAAGCAGGGATAGCCTGTGGTGAGGCAGGCCAGTGAGGAGGGAGTTGCAGTAGTCGAGACATGAAATGATGAGGGAGTGGATGAGCTGTTTAGTGGTTTCTGGGGTTAGGAACGTGCAGATTTTGGAGATGATTTTGATGAGTTGGCCAAGGGAGGAGGTGTATATATAGAGAAGAGAAGGGGCCCGAGGACGGAGCCTTGAGGGACCCCAACTGAGAGGGAGAGGTGGTAGCATTTATAGGTAACGCTGAAAGAGCGTTGTGATAGGTAGGATGAGAGCCAGGAGAGAGTGGAATCTCTGAGGCCGAGGGAGTGTAGTTTTTTGAGGAGGAGGGGGTGGTCGACTGTGTTGAAAGCCGCGGAGAGGTCAAAATACTCAATGTTACATTGTATTACAATACTTTATTGATGAGCCGTATGAATCGTATACCAATATTGTTCAATAACAATATTGAACCATAAAATTTAATACATACAAACAAAAAAATCCCGACTGACTCAAGATCCATAAAACTCATTTAGGTGATTTCATTGGGTAATAGCGCTACTTATCTTATAGAGAACATATAGCGTGGGATTTAACCAGGACGCGGAAAATCGGTGTTAAGACCTGGCTGACCGGGGCTGGATTGTCTCGCACCTGTTGTTATTTGTATGATGGAAAAAAAAAAAAAAACCTGTGATTTAAAAGTCAGGTGGACCTGGAATTTGTAAACATCTGCCCTGCTGGATACACCGCGTGAGAACGATTTGACATTTCGAGCTATTGTCGCTAAGAAGATCCCCGCTATCGAAGATTGCAGCAATTTGAGTTTTCACAATCTTCAAAAAAAAATAAAAAAAATGCCATTATACCAACAGCCAGAGATACCGGCGGCCCTTTGTTTTCCGGCTCGCCTTATTATACTTGTCTTTCAGTGTGTGCAATTCCCAGCCTCGCTCGGCCTCTGCATATTATCCAGCATGGCTGTAAAAATCATAATAGTACACCAGTACCGTGGTGATTTCCCCAAGCCCTTCCAGCGTCTAATCTCATCTCAGACCAGAATCCAAAACAGCCGTGACTGTCGGTATTAGAAGGTTCATTACCAAAATGTGAGATCTGAAGGGCCTTTCACGCGGTACGGTTAGGATGGAGTGCCATTTATAATTCCATTTTCAAATCTCGAAGAAGAATGTTCGGTGGATATACCGGGGTGATGACCGCAGCTGCAGGCATTTTGTTAGATCCGGTGGTTGGCTCTCTTATACAAGCAATCGGTGTGGCTAAACGAGTCAAGCAGAGAGTCGGTGACTGTCAGGTGACCTTCGGGAGCGTGTGCGTTGGGAATACTGTTTGTCCACCGCAGGGGCGGACTGACAACTCATGCAGCCCTCGGGCAATAGGGGATCATGGGGCCCCTGTGTCCTTGCATAAACTCAAAAAAGCCTATGAAAAAGGTACCAGGGGCATCTCATGGAGCCCCTTACTGACCCCAGGCCCTCAATAGGGGATCATGGGTCCCCTGTGTCCTTGCATAAACTCAAAAAAGCCTATGAAAAAGGTACCAGGGGCATCTCATGGAGCCCCCTACTGACCCCAGGCCCTCAATAGGGGATCATGGGTCCCCTGTGTCCTTGCCCAAACTCAAAAAAGCCTATGAAAAAGGTACCAGGGGCATCTCATGGGGCCCCCTACTGACCCCGGGCCCTCGGGCAGTGCCCGAGTTTCCAAATGGTCAGTCCGCCCCTGGTCCACTGGGTACATGACACCAGCTCAGACTGACTACAGCCTAGGAGATATCAAATGTTTAAGGCAAGGTGGCTACACATAGTTACATAGTGTAACGAGAGTCACTTTGGGTGGGGGGCCCATGGAACCCAGCTCACTTTGGAGAGGTGGGGAGACCCCTGTCTCAGCTCCCCATATCCCTCTTATGTGTAAATCACCCTGTGCCTGTTAAGGGTACAGGGTGATCTGTCCTAATATTGTGTGGGCTTCAGAGGCATAGCTAGGATATTTTGCACCCGGGGACGAAGGGCCACCTCATGACACCCCCCCCCCCGCTTCATATGGTCCCTGTAGACACCCCAACCCTGTTCCGATCACATTGCCCCCCCCCCCTTCATCCATGGCACTACTCACCCGGCTCGGCTCTCCCCTCGTCCCCTCCGGCACATGCCCGGCTCACTGCCCTCCTCTACGCTCCTCTCCTGGCCGGCTCCTCTCTCCTCTCATAACTCACTGTGGATGGCAGATGTATCAGATGACACGTCTACTGCAGTGATCTTGTGAGCTCATTTTGGCGCCCCTGTACCTTGGTGCCCAGGTACATATGTACCCCCCTGCCCCCCCTAGCTACGCCTCTGGTGGGCTTTGTCTCAGACTGTGTAGACATGTTTAGGAGATAGGTGTGTGGTGGGGGTTGTGGATTGCTTAATGCCATGTGGTTGCATCCCTGTAGACACCCCAAAACTATTATGGGATGTATGTGTTTGTGTATTCGCTTAGTGGGGGGGTGGGGGTGTCTCCAGCAGCCCTCCCTCCTGATGGGACTGTCTGCTGGTGTGAAGTTTGAATACCTGTGTGTCTCTTGTTACTAAATGTAGATTGCCCCGCCCTGTGTCATTATGCAAGGAGGGGGGGTTGTCCCCTGAGTGTATATATCTTATATCCATGTTCAAATAAAGAGTTCCATGTTCAGAGAGACCGGTGTCGTCTAGTCTTGTATGGTCGGCTGTGGTGTCTGTTGTCGGTGTTCGGACGGGGAAGTAGTAGTCTATCGGAAGTACTCAAGCGCAGTCTGGGTCAGTTCCGTTACAGTTAGTCTGGCTGAAAAAAGACAAAAATCCATCCAGTTCAACCATAAAAAAAAAAAAAAAAAAAAAAAAAGTTATAATCCACAGTTGATCCGGAGGAAGGCAAAAAAACCCCAGTAAAGCATGATCCAGGGGTGGACTGACAACTCATGGAGCAATAGGGGTTCATGGGGCCCCTATGTCCTCGCCCACACTCAAACCACACCAAAAAAAAAAGCCTATGGAAGGTACCAGAGGCATCTCATGGGGCCCCCTATCGAGTGCCCGAATGGTCAGTCCGCCCCTGGCATGATCCAATTTGCTCCTGCAGGGGAAAAAATTCCTTCCTGATCCCCTGAGAGGCAATTGGACATTCCCTGGATCAACTTTCCAAGAAAGAATCCAGGACTTTTTTAAAGCAATCCACTGAGCTGGCCAAAACCAACTCTTGAGGATTGATTCAACAGAGTGGAAAATGTGTGTAGGATGGAGGAACTTTACCATATTGGAGAAGATAAAATCAGAGAATTTAGAAAAACGTGGGAGGAATGGATAAGTTATAAAACAACTAAGAACTATGCAGAAATTAGAGGATTATGAGGGAAAAAATGAAAGCGAAGGGGAAAGAAGTGATAAATGTTGGAATGAGGTTAATAGACAGTTAAGGTGACCGGGGTGAGTGAGTGGGTTTTTTTTTTCATTTTTGTAAGACTTTTTGATATAGGAAAAGTATTCCTGTATAATGTGAAATACTGTATGTTATTCAAAAAATAAAAAAACATATAATAAATAAAAAAAAAACCAACTCTTGAGGGAGTCTATTCCACATTTTCACAGCTCTTACGGTGAAGAAACCAGTAATGACCTGGAGAGCCCTCCAAAAATTCTCCCACTTTTTGTCTCGGTCTTCTTATCCTGTCGTTTTTCTTCCAGTGACATGGTCTCGGAGATTTCTGAGGTTACCCATCCTAGAATCCCTTCAGAGGTTCCTTTTTAGTCAAGTTTCCTGAGTGAATAATCAAAAATAAAAAATTCCACTTAGACGTTGAGCTGTTGAGCTCCGTGAACTGACACCTGTCAGCCGGCTTGTCTTTGAATTGTTTCATTTTTTTTTTTGTCTCACAGTCACAAGTGAATTAAGATCCACTTTAGGAAATCTTTTATTCATCCCGGGATATCCGCTGGGACACTTTCATGGGGTCCTTTTAAGCGCACTGAGAATCTGAATATTCTGACACGTAGCTTTGTATGTGCGCCGCGTAAAGCTGTAAAATGCAGAACATTTAATAGCCTGAGACAGAACTGCCGGTTAAGGTGGCGCGGTATTCCCCCGCGACGCCTGTTCATGAAGGAAGGGGGGTATAGAGATTTCATGAAAAGGGAATCGGGGGAGGGAATAGACTCGAAAAAAAAAACCCAACAGCAAGGCGTTCTGATGTTCTCCAGACTGACTGATGAGGATCTCACCATAGGGGTATGAGCTGGAAGATGGGAATGATGGGATATTCTGACATAAAAAAGAAACTTCCAGGAGCTGATGAAGCTGAGTGAGATCAAACAAGCAAGTTCTGTGAGATCTGAACTGATTAAGTCAAACAAATGGAACTTCTTTTTTTAGGTTACGGGTTTAAGTATTGCAACATTATCTAATTAGGAGTTACAGAGTGGTGCTGGTTCATCCCGCGTACTAATTACTTGCAGCCAATGCATGGCGGAAGATGAAATGTCTAAGAAAGATGGAAAAAAAATTTTAATTTATTTCACAATCTCGTCATCCTCCACCCTTGCTGTGCTGTGTGTAGTTTGGCCTTTCTGCAAGGGTGGTGCTGTTTGGTGGATAAGGGGGAACCTATGTTCCTCTGAAGCCCCCCTAGATGTCAGCAGGGGAGCAGCTGTCCGATTGACTGACCTCTGTAGCCATCTTTGGTGTGGGCAGTGCTAATAGCACTGACCTCTTTCAACTGGAGCACATCTTGCAAGTGGTCAGGTCAAGAGGAAAACCCCCCAGCTGGTTAGAGAATAGATTGCCTAGTGCAGGATAGGTTCCTGTGGAGGTGGGGCAGACTAGAGACTTTGTCTCTGCAAGGGTGGTGCTGTTCGGTGGATAAAGGGGAACCTATGTTCCTCTGATGCCCGCCTAGATGTCAGCAGGGGAGCAGCTGTCCGATTGACTGACCTCTGTAGCCATCTTTGGTGTGGGCAATGCTAACAGCACTGACCCCCTTCAGCTGGAGCATATCTTGCAAGTGGTCAGGTCAAGAGGAAAACACCCCGCTGGTTAGAGACAGATTGCCTAGTGCAGGATAGGTTCCTGTGGAGCAGGGGCAGACTAGAGACTTTGTCTCTGCAAAGGTGGTGATGTTTGGTGGATAAGGGGGAACCTATGTTTCTCTGATGCCTCCAAAGATGTCATCAAGGGAGCAGCTGTCCGATTGACTGACCTCTGTAGCCATCTTTGGTGTGGGAAGTGCTAATAGCAGTGAATCTTTAAGACATCCATTGACCACAGATTATCAACATTGGGTGGAATGATCATTTAAGACATCCACTGACCACTGATTATCAGAATTGGGT